TATGTTTACGACTGGCGTGTCAGAGAGGCAATTATTACTATTAACTAGGCGAGGGTTAATACAACGTTATTAACTGTAGCCTACTTCAGGACTTATTTAAATGTAGATCAGTTGTGTATTGGAATAGGCTGCCGATAACAGTTAGAACTGCTTCATCATGCAGTCACTAACTTTAAAGTACTTTTAGACAAACATAAGCCGAAGATTAAAAAAGGTGAGCTATTGTGAATGGATTTTCGGAATTCTCAGAGGAAATTTTTAATCGCTTCTATAGACGTTTTATAAATTTTTACATTTTTATAGTATAGTATTGTATAGTATAGTGTTATTGTTGTATGTATATTTATTGTTTTAACTTGAAATGCTGTAATGTAGGATAATTATTAAAGTTAATAAGTTAAAGACAAATCGGCGAAACAAATCAGCAGCTTAACAAGCTAATAAGCCAGCAAATATAAAGCAATGCCTAAGTTCGTTTGGGCACCGCAATGTGGACAAATAATATTGTAAAATTCCCTCTATTCTATTAACCTTTTGTAGATAAATCTATATTTAGGTCTACCCAGTATTTTATAAGCTAGTAACTAGATAGTAATCACCACTTAAAATTCGCATTAATCGCAGGATTTTCATATTCCACTGCCTGATAATCATCTTCTATCGAATAATGTGGATCAGCATTCGCCATGATGTTGTAACGATTGATAAAAGTTTTCAGGTCCTTTGTTGAATTTCAAGGGCATGTAGGTCGAAGATTCTTGTGTAGAAATTTCTTGTCTAGATTCAGCTTTACTTTGTTCAATACATTGTATAACATCGTCAGGAGTTTCATATATGATATCGTCATTCACGTACAAATCTCTCTCAGCAGCATGGACAACCTCCATGGAATTGTTTCTATTTAAATTTTCCAGAATTGAATCTAGAAGATTTGCACAATACTGTTAGAAGTTTGGTATAAGTAAAAGCGCACCATGATTTAAATTTTCTTAACCCATCCTTGTATATCAATTTTTATCCTGTACAATTAAATCTAGTCGTGAAATTGACACAGGTAAAGTATTCACTAGTTCATTTATTTAATTTGGTTTGTCCTGACAATTCATTTACGTACATATAAAAACAAGATTAGTTACTGACACTAGTACGGAACATGCAAAAATAAACATTGGTGTGACTGGAGAGAGGAACAGGACTTGCGTCCCAAGGAGTGGAAGGAGGTTCGTTTTTATCATTCTTTCTTGATAGGACATATCTTTGGGATAGATCAAGATAAATATTCCTGCGCAGTCATTTATATATCTGCAGATTCTTTTGATAGTCCAAGAGTTTTGTTGGCTATCGCTGCAGTGACTTCGATGTGCTTTGATCAAGAACGATTACTGGAAACAGTGATGCCGAGGTCTTTGATGTATGTGACTTCAAGTTCAAGTGGCTGACCATCGAGGTTGTACTGGTGTTTGTTCTGTTCGGCAATTTCTTTCTCGAGATGTGCATGACTTTGCATTTCTTTGGGTTGAATTTCATTTTCATATCAATGCTCCATTTGAGAAGGTTGTTAAGGTTGTCTTGGAGAGAGCTACAAGAAGTAGGAAGATGAAGAGATGTGTCAAGTTTGGAGTCGTTAGCGAAGAATGCGAGCGATGATTCAGCCCGAATGTAATCTCGGACGTTGTTGCAAAACACAAGAATCAAATTTCTGCAATAGCAAATTATGTGGTACTTTGTCAAAAGCTTTGGTTAGATCGAGGTATATGCCATCAACTTCTTTACCACTAACGACAGATTCCATGATGTCTTGGTATACCTCCAACAGTTGTGTTGTTGTTGATTTACCCCTAACAAAACTGTGTTGCCTATCGTAGATAAGCGGTACAAGGTGTTGATATGAATGATTGTGGATGCATCGTTCCAAAACCTTAGACAGCACGCAAAGAAGAGAAGAGAAGAGAGATAGGTCTGTAATTGGATGAGAGTGTTGTATCATCCACCTTGAAAACAGGAGTGATTTTGGAAAGCTTCCATTTACTGGGTACAGATAATTTAGATAGCATGGCAGGTGTTTCTGTATCTTGAGGGTTGATAACGGAGTGGAAGAACTTATTTTTAAGATGTTGGGCATGCAAAACTTATCTGTTGTGAAATCATTATCAGTTCGTAAGAAGTTCGCATTTTGGCGCGTTTTTGTTGACAACTTTACCGCCGACCAGAAATTAAACGTTTGGGGTCTCGAACAACAACTCTGTCAATTTTTTGTTGTAATCTTTTTCCTTCTTCAAAATCAGCCGTTTGGTATCACGCCATGTTTTCTTATATAACTCACAATCGACCGAGGATTGAGTTTTCCTGAATTTTTTCTTTGGATGTTTTTCTTTTCAATGAGATGTAACAGTCCCTCATAAATCCAAGGGTGATCATATACATTCTTAACACTATATTTCGGGATGTGGTCATCGACGGCTTTGAGGAACAAGTCATATCAGTTGGACAGTGACTCATCGGTGTTGTTAGGAACAAAACATTCGTCCCTATTTTGCAAATGCTACCACTAACAGCCGTTGCTATGGCAACAATGACGTCACAACATGGCGGATATTTTATGTTTAAAGTAATTTAACCAGTGAATCTAAGAGAACTGGAACGATAACTCAATACATTACGCGCTATGATTGGATGAAGCCAAACTTCGCGCTCCTCGGACGCAACGTGTCTCTGAGTGGACGAAGGAGTGAACAATGACAATCCTTCGATTGTAAACGGCATGATCATGGCGGCTTGCAAATGTCGTTTTTTGGATAAATTTTTGAGAAATCAGAGCTAAATATTATACTTTACAACAATCAAATCGGGCAGGAAAACACGCTGAAGAAATATAATTTGGAATATGCATTAACTGATTGTGAAAGCGACAAGAAACCCACAAAGTATCGCATGCTTTGTAGTAAAATTTGTCAGGTATGTTTATAGTTTCTCTTTATTTAATGGACATCAGTACGATTTTGTAAAGAAAAAGGCAATGATGCTTTGACAATAATACAAGAAATGAACAGTTCAGTATTAAAATAATATAAAAGAGTAAATAATACAATAATACAAAGGATCTTGGTATGGTTTTTATTGTGCAACGAACACACTGTTCATATTATAATAATCTAAGTCTATTTTAAAGCTGGTCAAAGCTAGTTTAATTAATAGATAAATAGAACAAAACATGATTTTGATAAAGAGATAGTGGAACTTATAATTTACAATCTCGTCTTTAATTTACTAAATCGTTGTTCAATTATAAAAATCTAAGTCCATTCTAAAGATAGTTTAATAAATATAAAATTGAAGTATGGTTTTGATATAAAAGAGATAATGGAACTTATAATTTACAATCTCTTCTTTAATAATGTACTAAATCGTTAGTCACAATTCCTGAAAGCGGTGTTCTTGGAGATTCATTCAATTGAGGTGTGAAACAATAAGTATTTGAGTCATATATACATTTTCTACACTCGATCTTATTGATTTTTAAATAGGATCAGTTTGGTGAGTTGGTGTCTGCTGCTTGGCTGTTCATTCGTCACAACAGTGTTGTTAAACCGTTTGCAGTAGGTAAACAATCGCAGTGTCAAGTATCTGTCTGCTGTTAATTTCTAGAGAGGCAATATCTAATCAATACTTACCTGGATACACATTTGTTTCTCAACCTAGTTTATCAAATGCAGGTGGCACTGGGTTTTTTATTAATGATAGTTTGAGTTATTCAACAAGATCAGACCTGTCTTGTTCGTCAATTCAATTCGAATCATTATGGATTGAGATAAAGAGTAATCTACATCATAATCTTATTTGTGGGGTAATTTACAGACATCCCCAAAGTGATCTCGAAGCAT